TATGTATAGATCCACATTTTCTTGGATTCGGCACTAACTGGGGGTGAGTAGTCAGCTTCACACCCCGGCCGCTTTAACTTGGCGGTACCCTTTGGATAGGTGGTTTGGTGGACCACAGAGCCGGTCTGGACAAATTGGAGAAGAGAAAATTCTTGACCCTACCGGACTCGAACTCCGACCCTTCCGCCGTCCAGCTCGTAGCCAGTCGCTATACCGACTGAGCTATCCTGACTCCCCTTTTATTTCGGTATCTCACTTAAATTTCTATTTCTAAAGAATAGAATTTATTAATTATACATTAATATTGTTATATGATATTCTGTTAAATAACTAACTCCATGGAGCTGAGCCCTTCTCGAAAAGCCGCCAGTCACTGAGCCACTCAAGAATTTCCGAATATTTTATGGAAACTGAAGGTTCACTGCCGTGTTCACAAGAGCCCTCCACTGATCCCTATTCTGAGCCAGATTAATCCACTCCAGAGAGTCCTGTTTTCTCCCTCTAAGATCAATTTTTATATTATCTCTCCACCTACTCCTAGGTCTTCCTAGTTGCTCTTTCCTTCTGACTACTCCACCAAAATCCTACATACATTCCTCTTCTCCTCCATGCGTGCTACCTCCCCTGTTAATCTCACCCTACAGGACTTGATCATTCTAATTATACTTGGAGAACAGTACAAGTTATGAAGCTCTTCATTATGCAGTTTTCCCCAACCTCCTGTCACTTCATCTCTCCTCGGTCCAAATATTCTCCTCAACACCCTGTTCTCAAACACCCTCAGTTTATGTTCCTCCCTTACTGTCAGAGACCACGTTCCACACCTATATAGAACCACAGGCAAAATTTTAGTTGTGTAAATTCTAATTTTTATGTTATTAGACAGCAGACAAGAAGACAAAAGGTTCTGGACTGAATGGTAGCAAGCATTACCCGAGTTCAATCTCCTCTTACTTTCACCTGAATCAGGTTTTGAGTTGTTATCGTTGTTCCCAAATATCTGAACTGTGCCACATTTTCAAAACATCTGTTACCTATCTTTATGACATGATTTTGCCCTGCATTTTGGTGACGAGACAGTAACACATACTTAGTGTTCTCTGTGTTTACTTCTAGACCAACCTCCTTACTAACGTCAATTTAATTTGTGTGCTTTTCTTATTGGTACATTATCTCCCAGTAGATTCACATTACATAATGTCCTGTTACTATTCCTAATAATTCATTCTCGTCCAAATTTATGTCTACTTCATCCTCTGTAAACATCCTCTCACATTCAGTTATACAGAGTCTTATATTCTGTCATTGCTGTTCATTTTTGCATCCTAATATTCTCACGATATTCTCATTGATATTGCTAAACCTCTTCTCCAAAATCTCATCTGTTATAATCCTTGTGCCTTCTGTTTCAGTATGAAAAAATTGTCGTGGGCTGTAGTCCGCAATCGAACTATACCGACCGAGAGACCGCCGCTTGTCAGCGAAATTAATGCCAAAATTTGCCGGTAGAGGGTGTCGCGTGGTCAGGGCAACGGATCCCCAAGGCCGTTAATCTCTGTTTTCTGGAACCGCTATTTCCTTGAAACAGCTCCTCAGTTATCCTCACGAGGCTCAGTGGAACCCGTTCCAGACCCACTACTTCTCAGAAAATCTCGTAGAACCGAGAATCGAACCGGGACCTCTGGATCTGTAGGCAGGAACTCTGACCACTAGACCATGGAGGTGGTCTATATTTCAATATGTGGTCCCAAAATTCTTCTTTGCTACGTATGGGACAAAACTCCTGTTCATTGTGTGTATTCTATTCTCTGCGTCGCCAGAAGCACCCTACACGTATGGAGAGTAGTTCCGACTATATTGGTAGGCAGCCGACTAGGGGTGGTCCTTTACCGAGGTGGTGATACAACTTTTCACTGCAAAATATTTTGTGTTATGAAACTAGGTTCGAGGAGAAAAGGAATGCACGTAGGATCTTTGTGCCGAAATCTGTTACAACGTCCATTAGAAAGATCAAGAAAGAGATGATACCTGAACTATTTAGTCATTGTCTGCTTAACTACTGTCAGTATCTGAGACGCATGCCATTTGATGTTATGATAGTAGTTAGTGAATAATGAATTAGAAATGATGTGCAAGGAAGTGGTCTTGGCCTGTTTCAAAAGACTGGGCACTATCGGAAGAATGTCAGCCATGTTAGCCAGTATTTCGGCCGAGAATCCAAACATACATCTTCCGAATACAAGTCAGATGTATTAGTGATTAGCGAGGAATGCTCTCAAGATGAGATATGGGGACGTAAGATGTGAGAATGTGAGATGGATGCAGCTGGCAAATGTTCAATAGCGGGCTTTGGTATTAGCGCTATCGAACTTAGGGAATCTCTTATCAATTAACTTCCTAACTGACCTAGAAAGAAAGAAAGTGAAGATTTGTTTAATGCTGCTTACTACTAATTTCTTGGCTTGCATTTAGATCCTGAAGATGGAAGCAATATTTTTCTCCAGAGCCTCTGGCTTGTTCCGAACTACATGGCGTTAAATCCCAGAAGATTGTATTCCTCAATGCGAAGATTTACTGAGTTTCGTTATAATTACCATTATGGCCGCGCCATAGCTCTAGCGGTTAGTAGCTGGCTTCCCACCGCGGCGGTCCGGGTTCGATTTCGGGTCTGGTCAAGTGGGATTTGTGGTGGACAAAGAGGCGCTAGGGCAGGTTTTCTCCGAGTACTCAATACCGATATTTCTCTCACAGAAGTACATTCCTTCGCCGTTTGCATATAGCAGAGTATAATGGAGGTGAGGAAGTGCAGAATATATACATCAAAGGGTGATACGCGGTAGCGAAGTTGGTTGAGGCACTATGCTACAAGTCAGAAGGTCGCAGGTTCTATTCCCGATGAAGTCACTGGATTTTTCAATTAACCTATTCCTTCCAGGCACTATGGTCCTGGGGTTGAGTCAGCCTCTAACAGATATGAGTACCAGGAATTTTCCTTGGGTTAAGGACGGCCGGCACGTAAGGTTGGCAACTTCACTGCTATCTCTGAGCTGTCTAGAAAATGTGGCAGTCTCGACGTCTCACAGCTTTATGTACTTTCACGGCCTGTTACAGAGATAACTTTACTTTTATATACATCAAAGCTTTCTGTCTGTATTCACTGATAACTCACAGCGGCTTCACAACGTATGGTGAGTCACGTTATTGCCAGTTTTCCTTTCCAAGAAAAGACAGGCATATATTATCATTTTAAATGACAAATTTCCCATGTTATTTGTAGAAAATATATCTCGTGTGACATTACCACTAGTACCTACAATTACACTATGCCAGAGATGCTTTGCAGTCCTACTGAACTACCATCTGTGCGGGGGCAGGCTCACGGTTTACGGACTCTATTTAGTCCTTACTTACGAACGCTTTCATAGCTCACAGTATATAACATCAAATGAAAAGTAAATTACAGAAATGAATTTGGAAGATTTTGGAAAAAAAAAAAACGGTCTTGATCTAGCATGTGGTACTATACTGACATCTGATTTGGGGAGCCAAGGAAAGCCACAAAATATCACATTGAAATCATCCAGTCTATCAGCCGAGGTCTGAATACAAGACCTTTCGAATAGGGAGTAAAAAGTAAAGGTATCCCTGTAACAAGCCGTGAAGGCCCATAGTTTTGTGAGACGTTGAGGTTCCCACATTTTCTAGACAATCGGCTCACAGATGGCGGTGACGTTGTCACGCTTACGTGCAAGCCACCCTTTAACTCCCAAGAATATTCCAAGAATATTCCTGGTACTCATTTATGTTAGAGGCTGAGTCCATCTTAGGGCCATAGTGCGGCTGGACGGATTAGGTCAATTGAAAAAATCCAATGACCTCATCGGGACTTGAACCCGCGACCTTCCTGCTTGTAGCATAGTGCTTCAACCAACTATGCTACCGCAATGCTTATCATTCGGTCTAGGCCTTGTGTTGTTTATATATCACTTTTCCTTTTTACTTTTCCTGTAATTAGATGTTTCATATTTTAGAAAACTTATTTTGCCGTAATATTTAAAAATGTACGTAGGTGTACAACAGGCTTCTATTACCAATGGCGTTACCTTATTCAAATCCACACTTATTCGCCAGACTTTTTTGATCGTGTTACTAAGAGCGATATAAATCCACATTTCTGAAGGAAAGAGACCACTTGCAGGATCTAGTTCTAGATGTACGGATTGTATTAATGTATATGTTAAAGAAATAGTTTGTGAAAATGTGGACCAAATCCAAGAGGTTTAGGTTAGGCTTAGTGCCTGGTTGTTATGAATATTGTAATGAATTTTTGGGTTTTCATAAAGGTGAAAGCAAAATTATCCTGTTCTTAGTCGGGTGTTTAACTACGCTCTCGGTATCTGAGATTATATGGCGATTAATTAAGGACTGGTGAGTGAATAATTAATCGGAAATGATAAGGTCGTGGCTTGATCTCAGGTAATATTCCGGAATTTGTTTAGAAGAACAGGTAAAGCTCGAAAAACCTTAGCCATGATACTCAATGTTCCGGCTGAGATTCGAACCTCGAATGCACGTCAGAAGTTTGACGCTTTTATCCGGCTTACTCATAGCAAGTGTTATTAATTTTACATCTTATGTTCAGTCAAGGTTCGAATTTATGTTATGAAATGCTTCGTTATTCTCACAGCGAACCCTGGCTCATACCATAGTAGCTTGGCCTTGAATTGCATCCAGATGAAACACAGAAGTTGTGAATGCTGGTCCGGACTGGGTAAGTTCACTGACTTCTTTTGGAAACCGTAAAATCGGCATAATACTTCAAAATGACAGCTGAAACTTCATATTTGATTTTAGAAGTCCAAAGATACGGCAGTGACACTTGCTACCTCATGAATTTCAAGTAGGCTCTCGACAAGGTCGGTTTGGAGGGTGGCAAGGTAAGGTGAGATGTAGTACAGCTGTTGATCACCTGAGAGCGCTGCAGTCGTCTGGTTGGCTACCTCTCAGGTTTACAATTGTGCATTGTGCATGTTCTGTTGAGTGACTGTGGCCAGTTGGGTCGAGTTCGTGCAGAACGGTGTGGTCATGACGATATCCTACTCGGGCGAGGTTGCAAACAGCAGCAGCTTTGGGTGCTTCTGGAGGATATTGTGCAAGTAAGTAGTCATTGATACAGTTCCAGCAATTTAATGACTTGGAGCTAGCATGGAGCCTAAGGGACGTTTTCTCTTCTTAACAGCTGTTAGAGACAGAAGTGTCAAAGTACTATACATAGCACTGCAGGTTCTGGTGGCACTGGATATAACGATTTGATACTCGTTGATAGCTTTTATTAAAACAAAATTACGCATCTGTAAATGTAGTGTATTTTTGGCTTTGCATCTGTCAAAATGGCGACAGTATTTTTTTTAATCTACAGAGTTAATTATTTCCTTGCGAGCCATCACAACTGCTAGTGCCAGTTTACTAGTAATTATATTGGTATGTAGTAAATATTCTGAAGTGATTTTTCTGACGTGTCAGTGGCGTTGTATCCAATTGCATTATTTGTCTGCCGCTTGAAAGTAGCAATTCACGTTTCCCCTTTTCCCATTAATTAAGGAAAACATTGATTTACTCAGGTTTCTATTCATCTCAAGTAGCATTTATTTTTTTATTCCTATGTTACCCTCAGTCTGATTTTCATACAGTTCTCATATAAATGCAGCTCATCAATGTATATTTTAATCTCCTTAACTCAAATATTTTATACAATACTAATGTTAAGAAAAACGCTCGGAGAAACCTAAACGTGCAGATTATCCAAGAGGCGCCCGATTTGCGTCACGAACTGTTTTCGTATGCATCCGAAAGAGGGCTATAGGAAAAATTTTGTAGTTGTAATAAAATATGTCAGAGTGGAGGTAAAGCCCCACTCATTCTTAATCTCAGTAATAAATTGAGGTGAATAGTCAGCTTCATGCTTTGTCTGTTTAACCTCCACTCGGAGGAAAGAGCGACCGGTAACCATTGGACAGTGGGCTACTATTTGACTTTTTTGTGATATGAGGCTGGTTTTTGTTGTATTGTGAACTAGGAAGCTGTTGCAGTCATACTGTGTATGGTTTTATTTGAAGATGGTCTTATTTTAAGCAGGGTACGTAGGATTTGACAACCACAAAAAATTGTTATAGTACATTTACGATAATGACCATGGCTATAGCGCAGGTAATTGCAATATGTACATTTGGAAAGTTTCAAAGAGAAAATATGTACTTAGATAAGGGGAAAAAATTATAGGTCACAACTGTTTACGCCATTTAAAAATGATAACTGCAGAATCTGCGTATTACTTGCAGCTTTGTGTTAGTGGTTTACTTTGCTTAATACTAAGTGGCGTACTTGGCCGCGCCATAGCTCAAGCGGTTAATCGCTGGCTTCTCACCGCGGCGGCCCGGGTTCGATGCCGGGTCTGGTCAAGTGGGATTTGTGGTGGACAAAGTGGCGCTGGGGCAGGTTTTCTCCGAGTACTTCGGTTTCCCTTGCCAATCTTCATTCCACCAATTGCTCCACAATCACCCTCATCTATCATCTGGGGCTGGTACAATAGGCCAGAAGTGGCCACAGTACAAAGGACTTAGTCCCACCCCACTTGAAATAAAAAAAATGGCGTGTTTATGAAATCCAGACACTGAAAACAATTTAATCATTATTCACTTAGAACTTGTGTGGAATTTGTTACCGACGTGTCAGGGTGCAAAAATTTAGAAGTAAGTGCATGAATGTTATAAGACATACTTACGTCGCAAAATAATGGCTGAAATACGTGCCCCAAAATATTTTGTAAATTTTTGGAAGTCTATATGATTTAACGTTACCCTCTACCGCTTCCACCCCAAGTTATTTCGCTTGTAGTTCAAAACTGTGACTCGAATACAGAACTATGACGAGTAAGGGCCTGTTTGATGTCCGTTTAATTGAATATACGAAAACGCACAAGAAAAGAATTAGTTTATTTTTGAGATTGTTCGAATTTTGGATGGGTCCAGCGTTAGACAAAGTTTAGAACACCGCCTTCACCAGGGTAACGGGTTAAGTCCTCTGGCCTGTGCAAAATCAGAATTGATTTATTAAAATATGAGCCATGTAGATGCTTGCTACCATTAATGCAGAACCTTTTGTCTTCTCGTCTGCTGTCCAAAAACATTAAAATTAGAATACACAAAACTATAATTTTGCCTGTGGTTCTGTATGGGTGTGAAACTTGATCTCTGACGTTAAGGGAGGAACAGACTGAGGGTGTTTGAGAACAGGGTGTTGAGAATATTTGGACCGAAGAGGGATGAAGTGAAAGGAGGTTGGAGAAAACTGCATAATGAGGAGCTTCATAACTTGTACTCTTCTCCAAGCATAATTAGAATGATCAAGTCAAGGAGGATGAGGTGGGCAGGGCATGTAGCACGAATGAGGGAGAAGAGTAATGCATATAGGATATTGTTGGGAAAGTCAGAAGGAATGAGACCACTAGGAAGACCAAGACATAGGTGGTTGGATGATATTAAAATGGTCCTTAGAGATATAGGACGGGTTGTTTGCACTTGAGTGATCTGGTTCAGTATAAGGTCTAGTGGAGGGCTCTTGTGAACACGGTAATGAACCTTCGGGTTCCATAAAATGCTGGGAAGTTCTTGAGTAGCTGCACAATTAGCGGCTGCTGAAGAAGGTCTCATTTATACATGTGATACGTTTTCTTGAACGTGCCACCGCCCATCGCGAGGCCGCTACCAACACAAGGCAATACAAATACAGAACAAACCAGACATACATCCACACCTTAAGTGGGATTCAAACCCGCGATCCCAGTGTCATAGTAGAAGACGTAACGTGCCTTAACCTGCCGATAACTGTGATCAGCATAAAAAAAAAAGATAAAGCTGTCCCTGTAACAGGCCGTGGAGGCCCATAGGTTTGTGAGAGTCGGGGCTCTCACATTTTCTAGAAAATCGGATCATAGATGGCGGTGAGGTCAGCCTTACACTCCGGCCACACTTTACCCCCAAGAAGATTCCTGGTACCCATCTCTGTTAGAGGCTGAGTCGACCCCAGGACCATAGTGCAGCTAAGGATTATCCAATAACCTCATCGGAGTTTGATTCCGCGACCTTCCGACTTATAGCATAGTGCCTCAACCAACTACACTACGGGAGCTATAATAAAAACGTTGATTATTGAGTGTTGAAGATGGTCAGCTGTAAATGTCTGAAGTAATTCACTCCTGCAGCAACCTCTGTCTTGAAACAAGTGAATGGCGTAGCGCTAACACACGATACAGTTTTAGATTTTTGCACGTCAATTTGATCGTCACGAAGTGTGTGTAAACAAACTCATATACACGCGTAACTGTCATCCGGTTCTTGGTTTGCGCTGTGCGTTACAGCAGTGACGTAGTGAAGAGGACGTTACATTGGTCTCTATCCAGACAGTTACTCAGGTGAGCTCAAAGTGAGAAAGAGAGTAGAGGCCAGTGTTACTTCTGTCGCCATGCTTCAGCTGGTGAGTCCTCGAGGACAGTTGTGACATGTTTCCTCGATCAAAGTTCGCCACTGCCCGCCGAGCTGAAAGAAATACGTGGTTTTGTTGATTAAAGCCCATAGTAAGTTCTAACGTGTAGGAATACCAACTCGCGCCATGGGGCATTCAGAAATGGATAGTCTCAAAGATGATCAAGAAATTCTTCCCCCAATCGAAGGATAATGGGAATCTAATTACCTCGAAGACTTACATCTTCTGGAATATAACGCAATGTAGTCAGTTGAAAGTGAAAAGCGTTTCGGATGTGTCGGATTTCTCATGTCGCCTCTATCTTCAGCGTCGAAGAATAAGCCAAGTAAGAAACTACCATGAAGCAGCCTTCCGTCCGAAACGTTGGTTGGATTTCGATGGACTACACAGCGCTATGTCATAGAAGATAGAACTGTTCATAACCACGTCTGTGACAACCTCAAATACTATCTTGTTCACAGCTGCCACTATTGGACCCTCTCCTGAGACAACTGAATCCATTTTACAATCTCACATTCTGTTTATTTTAAATAAATTTTAATATTGTCCTCTCATCAACTCTTCTCTCCCAAGTGGTTCAGGTTTTCCGATTTACCTTCTTCGTTTAAAGAAATACGCCTAGTTGCGTGTTGTACGGGAAATGAGAATTGAATACAAAATTTCTACTGCATTCACTGATTAGGCTCTCTGGTCTGTTATAATTCAGCATTAGTTCTGAAATTGTGAATCTTGTAGACAATTGATATGGCTCCTTGGACGGGGGATCAGCCAGACGCAAAGCCACTACGTACACAGGACAACACAAACATAGAGCAAACGCAGGCAGACATCTATACTTCGAGTGGAATTCGAATCCACGATCCCAGCGTTTAAGCAAGGAAGTCGTTTCATGCCTTAGACCACGCGGCTACAATACAAAATTCTGAAAACTGAAAGAAAGAGACTACTTGGGAGATCTAGGCATGAAGGGGCGAATAATTATTAAATAGATGGTAATGAAATGAGTTGTGGAAGCGTTTACTCTATTCCTCTGGCCGGTCATTGCTTATGCGTTGAATGAAGTGTGGTGTGATAAACAAAGTTATATTTGTTTGTTATTCCGTTGCTTTACGATACTCTTTAAAATGTCTGAAGCTGTTTAGCGTTTGAATGTGATACCGTACGGTGTTTATGAATGGTTAATCTAGAGCGATATAGGGGCGGTGGTCGTGGCAGTACTCAGGCATTTGTCTCAAGATTTACGACTACATTTGTTATATACGATCCCTGGAATTTTTTAGGTTGGTCATGTAATTTGGCGGTGAGACTGTGAGAAATGGAGGACAGTGGTGACGATGTTATCCATAGTTATAGCACCAATATGCCGGTCACGGTAGGCCAGCGGTCTAAGGCGTGCACTGTCTTGGCTCGCTCGGAAACCGGGATCGTGGGTTCGAATCCCACTCAGGGCATGGATGTTTGTGTGCATTTTTCTGTCTTTGTCTACAGGTAGAGGCCTTGCGACGAGCTGGTCACTCGCCCAAGGAGTCCTACCGAATGTGTAAGATCTAGTAAACCGAAGTGAAACGGAGAGTTTCATGGAGGTAGTCCTAGGCCCAAATTGGGGCTGTAGCGC